CTTGTGTAGATATTTCCATCTCATGTTCACTGCAGCAGTCTTCACAGTAGCTAAGATATGGAACCAGCCAAAGTGCCCATAAATGAAGGAATGGCTAGAGCAATTGTGGTGTATGTACACAGTGGAATATTATTCAGCCTTAAAAAAGAAGATCCTGCCCTTTACCAAAACCTGGATGAAACTAGAGGGTATTATGTTAAGTAAAATAAACTAGACACAGAAAGAAAAATACTGCATTATCTCACATGTGAAATCCAAAAGAAATTAAATACGTAGAAACAGAAAACAATGGTGGTTACCAGGGGCAGGATGGGGGGAAGTGGGGAGAAATGCAACAGAGCATACAAAGATTCAGTTATTGTCATATTGGAGAAATAATTCTAGAGATCTAATATAGAGCTTAATGACTACAGTTAATAATGTTGTATTCTACTTGGCTAAGAGAGATTTGATGTCTTCTTATCATCAAATAAAAAAGTACCTATATGAAGAGATGGATATATTAATTTTGTTGAATGTAGTAATTATTTCACTAGGTACATGTAGATAAAAATATCTCGTCAACTTAAAGTATTTACAATTTATTTTAAACTGTAACATTAAAAAGCACTCAAAAATAAGTAAATGCAATTATAAAATATACAAAATTTCTGAGAAAAATATGTACTATAAATTCTGACTCAAAGCCAGTTTTGTCTTTTCTGTTTAAAGTAGTAGAAATATACATAATTTGGTGAGTTCTTTAAGATCTTCCATTTATACACTTCATCAGTTATATTAGCAGCTGTGTCTTTCCCTTACTAGAAACTCATAGATACAATTGCTTATGTTCTTGGAGACTAAATAAATAAATAAATGACAAATTGCACTTTATATATATTATACATATATTATATGTATAGTTATTTTCTTATTTTGAATGTTCCCAATTTCTGTGCTACCTAATCTGTACTATTAATATCTTGCTTTGGATTTATTTTGTTTGTTTTTTTCCCTAGTTTTTTGAGGAAAGAACTTATAGTATTCATTTGGAACCTTCCTCTTTTTATTGTTAAGCTTTTAACACTATCAATATATATTTCTCCTTAGAACTAATAATGTGAACTTTTATTGAACTTGTTTGTTGGATTATTAGCTATAACTCTTTGGTTATTTTAGGTTTTGGTAAGGGTTTACATAAAACATCTTATTATTATATATTTATTATATTTATTTCATATATGTAATATCTCTTTATACCTTAAAGTGACCTTATTTTATATGTAATATAAGCATATTATAATAATATATTTCCTAAGCTTTATGTTATTATCATACAATTTACATTTTTTAATTTATGAACTTTCTATTTCCATGGTCACTCAGTCTATTTACATAACTATGCACTGTGTTTCTTACACAGGCTTTGTAATATGATTTAATTACTGGTGGGGCTATACAGAATCAGGGTTTTTTTCATATTTTGATAATACATATGTAAACTTTTATTTATGTGAATATATATAAACATTACATATGTGAATATATGAGCATATATGTATATAAACATTGTAACAAAATATATTCCCAGAAAAATTCTGATTAATCTTTCTATCAAAGAAAATAATTTAAAATGTCCATTTCTTTAAATCTATTTTATCTATATATGTAAACATAACAGCTTTCCTCATACGGGAATTTCACATTTCTTGCTATTTACTTCTATTTTAGTTTATTATTTTTTATTTGCATCTTCCCTTTCAATATAGCTTGTCTTTGTCCATTTTATGTTGCTATAACAGAATACTGCAGACTGAGTAATTTATAATGAACAGAAATTCATTTGGTTCATATAAAGGCTGGGAAGTCCAATATGAAGGTGCCAACATCTGGTAGGGTCCCCTCTTGCTACCTCATTTCAGGACAGGAGGTAGTAGGGCAAAAGAGCATGCTTGAAAGGAGGGGGACTGACTTCATGTATTTATTAGGAACACAATTCCATGATAATTAACCTGTACTCATCATAATGGCATTAATTAGCTCATGAGAGCTTTGAATCATTTTTCAAAGATCCCACCTCTCAATATTGTTGCATTGTGGATTAAGTTTCCAACACATTAACTTTGGAGAACTAATTCCAACCTAGTATTCTATCCCTGGCCCCCCAAATTCACGTTTTTCTGAAATGCAAAATACATTTATTCCATCTCACTAGACCAAATGTCTTCACTAATTCCAGGATCAACTCAAAAGTGCAATGTCCAGAGTCTCATGTAAATCAGATATAGGTTAAGACTCAAGGAACAATTCATCCTGAGGCAAATTACCCTCCAGCTCTGAACCTGTGAAATCACGTTAGTTCTCAGGTGATTCATGTTAGTTGCTCAGGCTGGTCTTCAACTCCTGACCTTGAGTGATCCTCCCACCTTGGTCTCCCAGAGTGCCAGGATTACAGGCGTGAGCCACACCTGCCCCATAGCACTTTATTAAGTCCCTTATTTATATAGGAGAAAGCTAGACAAAGGCTAACCAAATTCCTACCCTTTGTCTTATAATTCTCTAATTGTCCCCACTGATCAATAAGAACAATGCTGGGGTTTTTTGTTTGTTTGTTTTTTGAGCCAGGGTCTTGCTCTGTCACCCTGGCTAGAGTGCAGTGCCATCATCATAGCTCACTGCAACCTCCAACTCCTGGGCTCAAGCAATCTGCCTGCCTCAGCCTCCAGAATAGCCAGGACTACAGGCTCACACTGGAACGCTGGCTAATTTTTGTATTATTATTATTATTTTTTTTTTGTAGAGGCCAGGTCTTGTTCTTGCTCAGGCTGATCTCAAACTCCTGGCCTCAAGGAATCCTTCCACCTTTGGCTTCCAAAGTGCTGAGTTTATAGGCATGAGCCACCACACCTGGCCAGTGCTACTTAACTTAATGAGACCTTAGTTAAGTTTCACTCCTTCCAGGCCCCCAAACTTTGGACTGTCCTAGGTCATTGGAAATCAGAACAAGCTCTCCTCCTGGACAACCCCTCCCCAAATAGGCTGATTTTAGGCCAAAATATTCCCAGAGTACCTGTATGTCCCAGGGGCTCATCCACTGCCCGACACCTGGTGCTTTGTAGACTTGTGTACTACTTCATATAAAACAAAAGTTCTTTTCTTTGTGACTCTCAGACATTTGTGGAGCCTGTGGTTGACACATTCTCCCTATTGCAATAATCCTTTTGTATAAAATCTCTCCTACGTCTAAATTTATTTTTTGACAATAATGAATATTTTATTGTTCCATCTGTGTTAGGATATGTACATTCTGTCTTTTGTCCCATCTAGACTTCAGAAAATCTTAAACTTTGAAAAGACAAATATAACAAAAATTGCTCATTCTCTTTTTTATGGTATAGGGTATAATATATACTCAATAGGTGAAAGTAGTTCCTAGTTAGAAAAAAATTTTAAATCCTTAGTAATTTGTGTCTGTCTTATAATGCTATTACAGAGACCATATGTGAAAATATTTCTGTGGCTGAGAAAATATCCTTTTTTTATTTCTCATTAATAAGAATGCTCATGTTGCTTCCTTGAAATTTTTAGAAGCAGCAAAATTCCCCATATGCAAAATAAATTCAAGACTTTTGGGTATACTCAGCTTCTTGTCTACTATTTTGAGTTCAACCAAAAATTTCAGAATCAACACATTAATTTTATTGGGATCGGGGAAGTCTAGGTTAAAAGTTCCTTCCTGACAACATAGTTACTTAGCATTATTGCATAATACAGAATCCATCTACCTTGTAAAGATCCAAATTCTAGTCTGGACAGTGCAACTATTAAAAACATGCAGATTCTTGTATTCATCTGTGTGCCATGCCAGGACATTCTGCTCATTTCATGCTGATAAAATGTTAAATATGCTAAGTTTCCTCGTGTGCATGATCATATTTAAATTTATTACCATTTCTCCATGAATGAAATTTTCCACATTGATGTTAGAGAAAAACATACTCTTAGTACATGTTAACTCACAGATGCTGCCATAACATTAACGCCGGTAGAAATGAAGGTATTTAAAATTTGATAATCAAATTTTCCTTTTACCAGGGTTCTTATGAAGGAGAATAGTCTACCTGCCATATACTCTTAAAACTTTTGCAAAATTATTCTTTAGGGAAAATAAATGCAAATACCTCTGTTGTCCATACGTAACAAAACATTCAGAAAGATAAAACAAAGACCTAAAATACATTACCATTTTCAAATAAAAAGAAGGTTTTCAGAATGCACATAAAGTCAATTTTAAATTACACTGTATTTGGAAATTACTGACATAACAACATTGTGATGTCAACAAAGTTTACCTCTAAAGTATTTCAGGTTAACTTATCTTCAGTGGAATAACATAAGAAGTGTACCAAGTGTAAGGAAAAACTAATTAATATCTACTTTAAAAAGTTATTGCTTTTTTAAAAGCAACAATTGGCGACCTAACTTATTACTGGATTTAGGTTTCCATGCCTTGCACCTCAGGTGTTGTCCCTATGAAAGTCTCTGGAACTGAGCACAGGGTTGACTGCCTCCGCAGTAAATGGGGAATAGAAATGGAAAGGATTTCCATTGTGTTCTGTAGGGCATCAGCATGAAATTGCACCTTCTGTCCACCCAGAGATTTGTATTTCACATTCTAGATTGTATCCCCTTCGCACTCAATTCTGGGGCTGTTTAATTAAATTGCTAACAAGAATTTGAATGGAAGGAACTTCCCTGGATGCAATAACAACCCACGCGGATCCCGCCAGAGTGATCCCAACTCTCAGTCCCCTGAGCTTCTTCCGCCTGTGTTGGGTCCCCCAACCCCTCCAAAGCCTTGCAGAGACAGTCCAAAAGCAAGGCGGAGGGAAGCTCAGGCCCCGCCCACAGCCCTCCAGGCCCCGCCCACCAACACTTAGGCCCCACCCACACCCTCGCCGGCCACCGCCCACACCCTCGCCGGCCCCGCCCACACCCTCGCCGGCCCCGCCCAGGCCTGGGTCTCCTGCGCGCGCAGCATTCTGTGGACCCGGAAGCAGATCGCGTGGAGGGAGTGTGGCGTGGCTGCGCGTGAGTTTCCTTAATCTTAACGTGTTAAGATTGAACCTCGGCTTCTCAGACTTCCCGCGCTTCCATACCTGGGATCTGGAGTGTCTTACAGACCTTAAATCCTCACAGCATTCCCTTCTCCCCAAGGAAGTCAGGCGTCGCCCCGGGTGCGGGGTCGCCTGGGTTGGAGAAAATCACTGAGAGGCTTTTCCTGTCCCCAGTCTTTCTGCCTTCAGGCCGCGAGACGCCTCCTTTGGCGCCGTTTTCCTGCTTGAAACAGGTTCCTACCTCTCCTCCCCCCTGAGCCATGTAAAGTCCTCACCCTCAGGTGGATTCAGGCCCTTCGGGTCCCCAAGCCTCGCCCTTCTGGGCCCCTGCGGGGCGGCGCCGCAGCCCAGTCCTGGGGAGCCCTGTCCTCTCCCTGGTCCAGGGATTCTGCAGACCCCCCTCACCCCCCCTTCCTCCTTGGGCCGGGCCCTTCTGCTCCCCAGGACTCTTAGCAGTCACCCCTTCCTGCGATTCCGCGTTGGGGGAGGTGACCATGGTCCCTTCTGGAGACAGCCAGTGTTGTTGGTCCCAAATGACGCCCACTGGGAAATGCCGCCCTTCTTGGAGTCGGACATCTCACCGTGTTCCCCTCCCTTTGACTGTGGGCACAGGGGATCAGGAGAGACAGACTGGGAGGAAACAGAAAAACTGAGAATGCGCAAAACAGAATGCAAAGTCGAGGATGGGTGAAGGATTTGCAAAGAGACAGTAAGAGTGAAAGAAGGATCTGGGAAAGTAGCAGGGGGAGAAAAGCGACTGGAGAAATGCAGAGAAGAGCTTGAATTTCAGCAAAAGAAGGACAGGGGCAGCCAAGGGGGAGACACAGGCAGACAGAGTTGGGGGAGACAGCAGCATGGTGCTGGGACAACAAGAGGGGCCACCTGGTGACAAGGAGAGCATAGGGGGAACCACAGGAGGGAGGAAGTGTAGGGACCTGGGGTGGCAGAGAGTGGAATCAAGGGGCCGTGACAGGGAATAGGGATTTTACCAAGGAGAACAGAGGGGGAGCAGAGACAGGGAAGAAAGAGGCAGAAATATATGGAGAGTGGGGACAGTGAAAAGACTTGGGAAAAAGGAACAAGAAGTGTGTTGGGAAAATATGATTGAGGAATTAATGAAATGTGGCCCATAAGATCATTATTTTATTGTGTAACCCTATATTACTATATTAAAGACAGAAACAGGAGTTTGCAGGTTTTTGCCCTGAAGGAATGTGTGGACTCAATGGTTCACTTATTGGAGGCTGCTCTCATGGGAGAGCTCTCAAATCTCAGGTAGCGATGTTTTCCAGGAAGGCTTCCAGGTATCTCAAAATCTGTGAGCTTCCCTGTGTTTTGAAAAACAAGACAAGGCAAATATGGCCCTCAGATGGGAGCCGGAGACAAAGAGTGCACTTTGCCCAGAGAAGCGCCCCCCCCCCAAACAACCTGTTTATTAGAGATGGGCTTCCTGCTCTCTCCTGTCTACCTTTTAATTCCACCATACCTAATCAAAGAAACAGAGAGTCACTATACCTCTTTTGTTTTACCTTTGTTAATTGACAACTACCTCTTAGAAGCTAGCCCCTGAAAGACTTTGTACCTGTTTGTTCACCTAGATAGATCAGAAGCCCCTTGAGAGGACTTTTGACCCTAGCCCACTACCTGTATCCCCTAGCAACTGCATTCCCTGATATGCAAATATGTTACTCTGACAACTGGTAATTGATGTCTGTGATTATAAAAACCTCTATGAATCTAACCTTGCTGGCTTTTATGGTGATATGCCAGTCTCCTAGGTGCCCTCTCCTGTGTTATATCTGATCTTTTTATATATATAAAACTATAAACTATACCTTATCTCTCTGTTGCCTATCAATTTCCGTCTCCTCTGTGGTGACCCTGTCTTAGGGACTTGGCTCCCTGGGGAGAAGCAGCTGATCTCCTCAGGGCCCTGCCTCAACTCTCCCCTGGCAGAGGTGAAGCAAGTTTGCAGAATGGAGCAGGACAGGCAGAAGAAAAGGAATAGAGAGAGGGAAGAAGGGGAGAAAGAGCAGAAGAGGAGAGGGGCTGAAACTCAGGGGGGAAACACAAAAAAGAAAAAAAAAGAGCTAGAGGAAGAAGGTGAGATTGACACATATGGACAGAATGAGGGAGGGATGCACACAGTAATGTGAAAAATGGGGGGACACTGGGACCAATGAGTGTTAAGGTGATTGCATATGATGGTTAAGTTGTGACCTGTTGATTTCTTTCTATATAATACAAATGTTCCTTTGAAAAAAGATTTTTTTGGGGTAGCAGTAGGGATCTTGCTGTGTTGCCCAGGCTGGACTGAACTCCTGGCCTCAAGCAGTTCTCCCCCATTAGCCTCTGAAAGTTCTGGGATTACAGGCATGGCCTACATGGTGCCTTTCAAAAGGAACGTTGAAAATAGTTTTGTGCTCTTTTTGTAATGGATTTCCTTTCTTTTCTTCGTCTTTTTCATTTCATTAATTGTTTTTTGAAGCTTGACATGATTTTTACTTTATTCAATTTGTATTTTTCTACGTATGATTACTTCTGATATAGGGTTGGTAGTATCCTATAATCAGCTTACATCATTATTTTGAAAGTTACATATTTTCATATTTTCTTCTTTGACCCCAGAATTCATCAGTTTTTTTTTAAGAATTTCTAAATTGCTTCTCTTTGAAATAAATTTTGTCCAGTTTATTTATTTATTTTTTCCTTCTATTCTTTCCATGATGACATTTTTTTTTTTATCTATATATAATTTTTTTTTTTGAAGGACAGAGTCTCGGACTAGAGTGCCGTGGTGTCAGCCTAGCTCACAGCAACCTCAAACTCCTGGGCTCAATCAATCCTCCTGCCTCAGCCTCCTGAGTAGCTGGGATTACAGGCATGCGCCACCATGCCCGGCTAACTTTTTCTATATATTTTTAGTTGTTCAGCTAATTTCTTTCTATTTTTAGTAGAGATAGAGTCTCACTCTTGCTCAGGCTGGTCTTCAACTCCTGACCTTGAGTGATCCTCCCACCTTGGCTTCTCAGAGTGTCATGATCACCGGCATGAGCTACCACACCAAGCCCACATTTTTATTTTTTTAAGACATAGGGTCTGGGTCTTTTCCCCAGGCTGGAAAGTGACATAATCATAGCTCACTGCAGCCTCTAACTCCTGAGCTCAAATTATTGTGCTGTCTCTTAGCCTCTAGAGTCTCTGAAATTATAAGTGTTAGCCACTACATCTGGGTAGTCTTTATCATATATTAGAAACATTTTTTTGGACCTAATATGTAATTTTAGATGTTTCAATGTGTACTTCTTAAAGATATCAATGACCCATTTTTCACCTTAACATCAAAACTTAGTTGAAGTAGCTAGTCTGGTATTCAGTTTTCTTCCCTCATGTCATCTATTAAAAATAGTGAGCTGTGAGCTCCTATATAAATGTTCCCGTCAAGTCCCTCTGGTCCATCATGTTCTCTGCAAAGGTAGAAGGATGTTTGGATTGACTTGGAAGCTTCTTCCAACAGAGCCCATGTATTGATGAAGAAATAATTTGCTCAGGCCTGACTGTTTTAAACACACATAGCTTTGTGTTCACAGTTGTGTATTTTTTCAGTATATTACTGTGATCTTCTGGTGGAGAGTAATTAAATGTTTGGGATCAATGACATCAGAACGATGTCAGAGAAGTTTCTTTGCTGAGACATGTGAAAGATGGACTGGAATTTTCTAGAGGAGGTGTGATAGAGAGAAACCCATACATTGGCCCTTCCAGGCCACTGTATCAGGATGCAGGTACATCTTCTCACTCAACCCAGACCTTTTTAGCATAACTTTGTGAAACTTCTCTGAGCCTCAGTGAGCCCACCTGCAACATGGAGATGAGGGACTATCCCAGAAAACCTCAGTGTGCTTGACATTGACCCCTGAAGTCATTGGCCAAATAGAGTAGAGTCTGTGTGTGGCTTTTCTTTTGGGAGGGAGCAGTCCCTAGTTTCAATTAGAACTTTAAGTGGGACCCAGTCCTTCAAAAATGAAAAACAAATTAAAAACAAAGGCACTAGAATGGAATAAACAGGAGCTTTGACTTAGAGACAGACACACCATCTTCAGAGATCCCTCTCAGCTTTAGAGTTATCATAGCTACATCTAAACGCAGGTCACGTCCATCTGTGGCACTGAACCCTCCACTGGCTTCCCATTTTCCTCAGGACAACGTCCAGGCTCCTCAAAGTGAAGGCTGTGCCAGAGGGAGGACCACTGTGCCTATATGTCATTCCCTTTCGTTCATTTACTCACTACATTGGAGCCTGGCTTTTTTGCCTGCAACACAGATAAATATGGTAAACCAACAAAATATACGGCTCTACTTTATTTTGTTTGTTTTTACACACACACACACACACACATACACACAGATAGATACAGAGATTTTTTTTTTTAAGCGATGGGGTCTTACTATATCATGCCCAGGCTGGGCTATTGAATTACTAATAGTCATCTGAGACAAATGCCCCAATGCAAAGGACTGAGGTAATCATTCCCCTGGGACTCCTGACTTCCTTGCTTCCTCCTGACATCAGCACCCCATCCAGCTCTGCCTACTCTGTTTCTGTCCCTGTGGCTGATCACAGCCTGGAGAAAACATTCACCCAGATTGACCTATCTCACTGCGCTTTCCTGCTTGCCTCTGCTTGCATTTCCCTATTTGTCTGTTCCACACGTTTTCTCTTGATCCCCTCAGCAGCCCAACTCCTCTTTTATCTGTTTTCTACAAGACCTTTGTTTTTCCTGCTTTGAGCCCTTAGAGGCCAGAAAAGAGATCTGCTATGGGCCCAGCCCCCTGCCTTAGGGCCTGTGGTCTCTGCTCCATGGTGACTGGGAATGGTCTGTCCCTGCTCCTGGCTCTTGTTGGCCCTGCGATTGTGCCCCGCTTGCCACCCTCCATGGTGTCATCAATATTTACTTGAAGGGAATTATTTTGATCAAAGTACCCAGATGGTGGTAATGTCTGTTAAGACACACACACACACTCAAACACACACACACACACTCTCACACACACACACACACACAGAGACACACACACAGTGAAGCTTTTTTCCTCTCCATTCTTCCGTCTCTGATACATAAATTGTCTATGAAATACATATTTATCTTTAGTAAACACCCTTCTTCTATGTTCTATTTAAAAGATAAAAACTTGCTTGTATTCTGTCTTGAATTCTTGCCTTCAGTTCCCTCGACTCCATCCAATCAAGCTTTACTTCCACTATTCCACTCATAGTTTCTTTTTCAGAGTAACCAGTGATCTCCACATTTCTAAACCAGTATTTAATTTTCTGTCCTTTTTTCTTTCTCTCCTATCCACAACACATTGCACAGCTGGTCTCTCTCTCTCTGTTTTTTTTTTTTTTCCTGGGTATAAGGATGTCCCACGACCCTTCAGAAGTCTATTTGATTTAATTTTCTTGTCACCTTCCTGATGACTTTACACTTTCCTCTTCTGGTGTGTCCTGAACTCGCCGTTCTCTGAATGTGCGCGTGACCCACAGCCTAGTCCTTGAGCCTCTTCTCATCTCAGTCCACACGCACTGCCTTTCCTAGTCGTCTCTTCTCGTGGTTTAAGCCCCACTGACATGTCAGCATTTCCCTTGCACACCTCTGCCCCGAACTGCAGAATCCTGCGTCCAGCTGTGTCCTCCACTCTCTGCTGGGCTAACAGGCATCTCCCCTTCGCATGTCCAAAAGGGACATTCTGAACTCCCCCAAACGTGTTCCCCTTTCGTCCCCACATCTCAGGTGAGACTGACCCTGTACTTCCTGGGGCTTGTCTGAACCTATCAGCTTGTATTTTAAATATTTCTTATAATTACCTTATTTCTAAGGGTCGTAGTTTGTAATATAAAGAAAAATCACACATTCACTTGATGTGGGTGAGGGTATCTGTAGTTTGCAAACTTCTCTTGAGGTGTGGGAGAGAAACGTGTGCAGACCTGGCCCTCCCTGCTCTGCTCCCCCAGGACCTCTCTGGCCTCATCTCCTGCTTGTGTCGTCCTCGCTCTGCTCCAGCCTCGCAGGCCTCTTCCCTTTTCCTGGGCACGAGGTGGCTCCTGCCTCAGGGCTTCCACGTGGGCAGTCTGTCTGCCTAGAACTCTCTGGCCTCCCTCCTGGAGGTGGAAACATCCTTCCTTCCCCAGGTAATTGTCCTGGTAGCCCCTTCTCAGTGGCAGCTTCTCCGACTTCCCCCAATTTAAGATTCCAGTCACACCGTCACCCCCCACACTGGTCCATATTGCCTGTTCTGTGTGTTTCTTTTGTTCCTTTGCCGTTCACTGTCTGGATACTGGTGGCACCAAGTCCCCAAGGGGACAAGAACAGAGGGAAGTGTGCTGGGCTTGTTCCCCAGGCTCACGCCTGGCTGCACGTTAGGGTGCTAAGGCTTTGCAGACACATCCCTGTGCCCCCTTTGCAGAGATTCCCGCTCCCATAGTCAAGTTGGGACGCTCCTTCAATATCTTTACAGTGCCCCACGTGGCTCCAGTGCCTATCCAGCATCGAGTGTCAAGGCTCAGTTTCTTTTATTTCTATGGGCAGAGACCAGCCTGCGGTCCATGCAGGGGTGAGGGGGCTGTGCTCTGCATCAGGTTTGGTCAGGGCCACACCTGTGCTCTGGAGGGGAGCCCAGCCCAGCCCAGCTCCCCCCTGCTGCAGCGTGAGTGTGGGCTTCCACAAGGGGGGCAAGTTCTGCACAAAGGGGTCAAAAACTCACTCTTTGGGCTTCCTGTGGGAGGTTTTTATCCTTGCATCCCTCCTGGTGCAGTGGGTCGCAGAGGACCCTCTCTCTGCAGGGTGAGGTCTGTCTTTGTGTGTGCTGTAGCACAGGAAGGGGGTGTGTGGTTTCTTATGTTTAATCCTCCTGTTTTTCACATTCAGGATTGACTGCTAACGACTCATGTTGGGTGAGGAAGAAGCCTGGAAGCGGGGCAGGAGGAAAGGAAAGGAGTCAGGAATGGCTCTGGCTCAGGTAAGGTGATGTTCTCAGTGGGTGGCTCTGTGTCTCCCTCCTTTCTGACATGCCGGGCACTGGAGTTGCTGATCTTCTGTGACTCTGCAGTGTCCTGCCTGTTGTGTTTGCTCACACTCACCCGTGCCTTCCCTCAGTCCCTGTCACCTGCACTCAGATTCCATCTCACTGTGACCCAGTGACAGGACCCTGTGGAGAGGCTCCATTGGACACGGTCCTGGGAAGGGCTTCTCACCCAGGCAGGGGTTGGGGACGGGTGTGGCCCTGTGGTGTCAGTGCTGTTGGGCAGCAGGGCCTGTTTAGGGGCCACGGCTGGATGCACTGTCAGCTCTCTGTAGACTGGGATTAGAGAAGCTGCCCTTGAGTCATGGGTAATGCGCACAGACACCTGCTGAATGCTCTAAAAAGAGAATAATCAGGAGAAATTCTTTCTGATTCATTTATATTATATTTGTATCTAAATCAGTGAGTCACTGACTCAAACTCCTAGTGACAGAGTGGAATGGAAAGTTAGACACAGACATCAGTGATGGAGGATTCTTTCATTCCATCATCTGTTTTTACTATAACATAGATGTGAAATGGCAGGAGCTTCATTAAATATTCTCAGACAATCCATACCACAGATACCGTGGTGTTCCTGCAGGGACTCTTGTGCGACAGGCGTTTTAGCTAAGAGTGGTTATAATTTTGCTCAGACCGAGGAATAGAACTTCTTTGCCATTAGAGAAGATGGAACTTTATTTTTGTTTTGCCAATTATTATTAAATATTCCATTTTATTTGAAACATCCCACGACATATATTTATTTTATAGTAAAACTCCAAACAAACATGCTGAGCTTAGGTGCTAAGGCATAGTGCACCACCCATCCTGTCTAGCCTTCCACCCTCCCTCCCGTGCTAGTGGGGAATCAGTGTTGTCAGTTTTGTGGAGAGAGACAAGTGCGTTGGAAACGTCGGCTTCATTGTGAGATTAAAAGGTAAAGTTCTTAGGGAATGCTTTGTTATTGACAGTTTCACCTGCAACTTCAAAAATGTATGTGGTTATATGTTAGAAACATGATGAAATGCCTCTGCTTGGGATTACGTATTGCTCGTTTTTGGAGCATTGTGCTAATGAAGACAGGTGGATGGTTTAACTCTCCCCATGTAAAAGAATGGCACAGAGTGCTTCCTCGAAGAAGTCAAATGCACTCCCAGAGTACAGAGGATTCCTCCAGATTGCATTTGAAAAGTGATTGCTGCTTCTAGGAGCTGCATTTCCTACCTTGCTACGTCTGGCACCATTCCATCCCCACCTCAGCTAGCAAGGTATACCCCTCTCACCAACAACACAACATATCCGCTCTTAAACAACTTCCACTTGTGTTCTTTTCAGTTTTTGAATTCTGCAAAATGACAACCCCTTTCTCTCCTACATTTCGTATTACTTCACGATTGTCATTTTCATGACCTGTGGGGTTGATGAATCGTTAATTACGCTCGAGGGCATGGATTTTATATGTTGCTCCATTCTCTTTTCTGTAATAGATAACTATTTTCATAGCTCCTGTGGTTCATTCAAGTACTACTGAATTTTAAGCAATCGAGATGTAGATTTTTTGCATACAAAAGCCTATCGGTGATTCAGTAGTTCTTGTGTGTTACCGTCTTACTTGCATTGAAGACTCACTTAGTTGCAATGGATACAAAATGTTATAGCATCATTTAACTATAGTTGATGATTTTGTTTGTGTTCATTTAATAATGATTTTTGGGTATAATTGCACATACTTTAATTGATTTAGGTTTCAAATATATTATCGTCAAGTCTCTATGCAGTTGATCAAAGGATCGATCTTTGTTGTTGATTCAGAATTAGCATTGCTCTTTGAGAATACACAGCCTACCATTTCAACTCGTTTGTCATCTTTGAAGCACAAAAGTTTCCCAGTTGGAGATACAGGCCCATTTTTCTATGGCTGTTCTGCCTATGCTTTTGGTTATATGCAGCAATCGTTGCCTTGGAAGATTATAAGCCTGAATATTCCTTGTTCGTGTTCTAGTCCAAGTCTTCTCTGTGTGTCAATGTCATGTATTAATATTGACGTACTTCATTCTCCTGAACCACGCCTTAGCATTCCCTGAGTGTGGAATCACAGCTTGCTCCATGCCTAATTGACTCTTTTAATGTTCTGTAACAATTTGGTTTCCTGAGTTTTTTGAAAACTTTCGATTTTTTAAGAGACCTATTGCTATTGTTTCCCGCAGGTCGCGGGAGCTAACAGGGTGCAGATGGATCATGATGCTTACCATAACCTTGTCCTGGCTGCAGTTACATCCTGCCAATCCTCTAAGTGTAGGACTACAACGTACAGTTGCAACCATGACATCCAGGCTAATTTTAGAAAAGTTTGTTGAGAAAGGGGTCTGCTATGTCGCGTGCAGGTTTTTGAACTCTCAGCTCAAGATCATCCTTCCTCCTCATGCCTCCCCTAAGGAAGTGCTGGAGTACAGGCATGAACCACTACACCAGCCGTGGCTTCACAGTGTCATCCCAGAACTGTGATATGTTTTTATCTGAAAAGGATTCCTGGCTTTTATAAGCCATATTGGGTGTCACAGAAGGAAGATTTTTTGTAGTCCCCTTTCCTACCCATCATTGGAAAGATGAAAGGATGGTGTTATTTATATTGAAAAATGTTGATACATGCCGCTGTGCGCTTGGTCACGCCTAATGCCGTACGCTCTTTGGAGGCTGCCGAGCGCGCGATTGCTCAAAGTCAGAGTTCCAAAACCAGTCTGAGCAAAGAGCGGACCCCTCTTACTATAAAAGTAGAAATAATTGGCCAAGCTGGATGTATAAGTATATATAAAATATAGCCGGTGGCATGGTGGCACATGCCTGTATCCCAGCTACCCGGGAGGCTGTAGAGCGAAAGATCACTCCAGCCCAGAGTTTGAGGATATGCTTGTGAGCTAGGTGAGCCTTCGGCACTCACTCAGCCTGGCAAACAAAGCAGATGTTCTGTCCAAAAAAAAAAAAAAAAAAAAAAAAAAGTTTGATAGAATTGTGCAGTGATTATGAATTTTGCATCTGGTTCTAGACTCTTGGATGGGAGATTTTCATTAATATCCATAGTACTTATAGGTGTGTATAAATTTTTTATTTCTTTTTGACTCAATAGGTTGTGTGTATTTTTACAAGATGGATCAATTTCTTCTAGCTTATGTAATTTGTTGGCATATGCTTGACTGTACTTGTCTTTTACACTCTTTCTTCTTACTGTGACATGCAGGTGGTGGGTGCAATGCCTAATTCCCTTAGGCTGTCTTTATTTTTCTTCATTCTGCTTTTTCTTTTGCTCCTTTTTCTGTTTCCTGTTTATTTCTTCTACCTGGTCACGTCAACTTTCAAGGCGCACTAGTATGTTTTTCAATTCAGTTATTACTGTACTTTTCAGTTCCAGAATTTCTCTTCTGTTTTGTATAGTTCTAGTTCTGATGATAATCTCATTTTGTTCATATTATACATTGTTTTTCCGATGTGGTGAAGTCCATATGTGCTCTCTTAATTTGTTGAATATCCTTGTAACTCTTACTTTGAATTCTTTGCATGGTAATTCAAAAAATCTTCATTTCTTTAGTGTCAGTTTGTGGTGATTTATTTGGTCCTGTGTATGGGTTTTGTTTCCTTTGTATTTTATATATGTCATTATCTACTGTTGGGACTTCAGCGTTTCACAAATTAGGCACTTGTGTCCTGTTTTTGTCTGCCTTCATTTAGAGAGGACACTGCTTATGTAGCCCGACTAGACATTCTGGAGACCTCTCAAGACTTTCTGAGGATGTGTCCTCTCTAGGCTTTTGGTTATAATCTAACTGAACAGATTTTTCCATTGCAACCATTTTCTACTCGGAAGCTCTCCTGTTGTCTGCCTGGTAGTCTGCAGCCTTGTTGGTGCTCTAGCAAACTGTGGTCTGGGTCTCCCCTTAGTGTCCTACCCGTGCTCCTGCGGTACTTGTTTATAATGATGGCCTTTATTTTCAGTGGCTCCCAGGCCCAGTGTGCTTTTACTTTCAGTGATTATATTCACCCAAGATAAAAATTTGTCCCTCTGGTAGTCCCCTGAAAATCAGCATGTGGGACGGATGTTCCCATACTTTTCGTCCCCTGCAAGAAATCAGGACTTAGGGGTTTCTTCAAAATGTTGTCACATCACGGCAGGGTAGTGCCTCTGGCAAGGTGTCTCAATAGTTCCCATTAGGCATCCATTAGGGGTTCCAACCTCTTAAGTGATTCCTAAACTTCACACAGACAGTTGCTCTGTGTGTTGTTATCTGTGTGTGTCTCCGTGTCTGGGATTTGCTGTTCCTGTCTCTTACTGATACCACCTCATGAATATACTTTTATAATTTCCTTACATAAGCCTGGAAATTTCTTTTAATTAGGTGCCATGATATATTTGCTAGTGGAAATGTCAGATGTACCATGTGTATGTGTCTGTTTAATGAGAGCTGCTAAGGAAAGAATATGGTTGTCAGTATATTGTATTAGTTTTATACTTAAACAGCATTTCTTTTCTAGGTTACAGTCATGTCTGTTAATTTTAACAAATCGGGCTCTTTATTCCTTCCCGCTCCCTTTTTTCCCCACTATTTCCTCTTTATTGGTCCCTGTTCAGATATCTTGGGCAGTGGTGTTGGGGTGGAGCCCTGGCCACCCCACTTTTCTCCATCTTAATTAAATGAGATGCATCCTGTGCTTACTGGGATCATGATATTTGGTGAAGTATCCTTGCTAACATTAGCGGTTTTTCCCATATTTACTTTTGGCCTGATTTAACTATCTAATGATTATTTCAGATATAGTCTTGTGAGACTTTAATAATCTACATCTGTGTTTTTTGTTTTTCTATTTCTAAGAGACAGGGTCTCATTTTGTTGCCCATGGTAGGTACAGAGCCATGATCAGAGCTCACTTCAGCCTGCAACTCCTGGGTTTAAGTAATCCTCCTACCTCAGCCTCCCAAATAGCTGGGACTACAGGTGCACACCTCCACAGCTGGCTAATATTTAATTTTCTGGTAGAGGCAGGTTCTCATTATGTTGCCCAGTCTGGGCTTGACCTCCTGGCCTTAAGCCGTCCTCCCACCTTGGCCTCTCAAAGTGGTGGGATTACAGATGTGAGCCAGTGCACTGTCCTAATCTAAATTTGTTAAAGTAATGTATGATATTGACACTTTTAATTTCTTGTGTAATGATTTTATTACAGGAATAATCTATTTTAATACATTCCAATGGGTTTTTTGATAATGCCTGTGTATCTAAACTTAACTGCATAAAGTTGTATCCATGTTTTTGAATGTGTGTATTTAATAGGCATTAGAATTCAAGTTTGAGTTGTTTCCACGTCTTTGCAATTGTGAATTGTGCTGCTTTAAACATTCGAGTGTAGGTGTCTTTTTCACAGAGTGACATTTGTTCTTTTGGGTAGATGCCCAGTAATGGGATTGCTGGGTCAAATGATAAATCTACTTATTTCGCTTTAAGGTATCTCCATATTGCTTTCCACAGAGATAGATCTAGGTTGCAGTCCCACCGACAATGTAGGGGAGTTCCTGTATCTCCACACCCACGCCAACATTTATTGTTTTAGGACTTGTCGGGCAGATGGGGTGCAGAGGGAATGGACATATACATACGTAATGAGTGTGATGCACACCAACTGGGGGATGGACACGCTTGAAGCTTTGGCTTGAGGGGGGAGGGGAACAAGGGAAATATATGTAACATCAACATTTATACCCTCATAATATGCTGGGGGGAAAAAAAGAATTCATGTTTCTACACTTTTTTATGTTGTACTATTTTCAAGTTTTTTTAAATTATTATTTCATAATATTACAGGGGTACTCGTGTTTTGGTTACGTGGATTGCTTTTTTACAGCTTCAGTGGAAGTTATAAGTGTGTCCGTGACTCAGATAGTGTACATTGTATCCATTAGGTGTCATTTCACCCATCCCCTTCTTCCCCCTTTCACCTGCTTGATTTCCTTTGAGTTTTACTTCCATATGTGCACTGGAGTGCTGATCGGTTAGTTTTAATGTAACGATGAGTATGTGTGGTGTTTGTTTTTTCATTCTTGTGTTTTTTCACTTAGGAAAATGTTGTTCCAGGTGTTACAATGGGTAATAACTCCTCTTTTTTTTTCTTATGGCTCTGTAGTACTCCATGGTACACATATACCACATTTTATTAATCCACTTATGAATTAATGTGTGTTTTGGGTCGATTCCACATTTTTGCAAATGTAAATTGTGCTGCAATGAACATCTGAGTGCAAGTGTCTTCTTTATAAAAGGACATTTTTTTCTTTGGGTGAATACCCAGTAGTGGAATTGAAGGATCAAATGGTAAGTCTACTTTTAGTTCCTTGAGCTATCTCCATAATAATTTCCATAGAGGCTGTACTAGTTTGCAATCCCAACAACAGTGTATAAGTGTTCGTTTCTCTCTGCATCCACACCAGCATCTATTGTTTTGGGACTTTTTGATAAAAGCCATTCTCACTGGAGTTAGTTGATATGTCATAGTGGTTTTTATGTGCCTTTCCCTAATAATTGGAGATGTTGAGCATTTTTTCATGTGTCATGTGGATGCCACTTAGCTGTTTCTATGGAAACCCTCTGTTCAGTGGCTTTTGCCCTGTTCTAACTGAGTTCTGTTGATTCTTTCTGGTGGTGTTTTCATATCCTTTGCCATCTGTTTCTAGTGAATAGCCCTTTTCCAATGGATATCATGCAAAAATTTTTCCCGATTCTAGGTTTTTCTATCCCTTCTAATGTTTCAATGCGCTGTGTACGGAGGTTAATAACCAATCCATTATAATTTTCTTGCTTGTGATTGTAATTGGGTCCGTACTTCAAATTCCAGTTGCCTATGGCCAACATCAGAAGAGTTTTTCCCAACATTCCTCCTAGGCCTTCATTGTTTCATGTCTTACATTTAAGTCTTATCCCGTCCAGAATATTTATGTCACTGGTGAGAGATAAGGAAACTGTTCAATCCTCTACATGTGCCTGGTCCTAATTTTCCAAGCACCATTATTGAATACTGATTTTTCACCGCATATACGTCTCGCCCTTGCCAAAGATCCAGATGGCCGATATGGTGGGGTTATATTTGGGTCCTTCGTCTGTTACATGGCTGAGTGGAGGGTTCACATCCGTTCTTTGTCCAGGTTATCCGAGATTTGGGCCCAAGTCGTCCAAGCTGTTTTTTACCTAAGCCTTGTAGTATAGCTGCAGTCTGTGGAAGTGATTCCCCCTCCTTTGTCCTTTTGCTAAGGCTTGATTTGGCCATTGGAAGCGCTTTCTAGTCCAAAAGTGTAGAAGTATTTTTTCTAA